CTGTGCTTGTGCAGCCCGTGACACATTACTTGGTGAAGTGGTGCTCCCTCCCCTATGAAGACAGTACATGGGAGCTGAAGCAGGACTTGGATCCAGCAAAGATTGAAGAATTTGAGAAACTCCAGAGCAGAGAGCCAGAAACAGAACGCGTGGTAAGAATTGGCACAGCCAAGCAGTGTTTTTATTTGAAAATAGCTCAGTTATATGTTCTTTCGGAAAACCACTAATGGGATTTACTGCATTTGAAACAGGAGCGACCTCCTGCTGACGAGTGGAAGAAATCGGAGAGTTCCAGGGAGTATAAAAACAATAACAGTCTCAGGGAATACCAGTTGGAAGGAGTGAATTGGCTGCTGTTCAATTGGTACAACACGTAAGTATTTTTTTCCTACTCTCCTAGCAGTAGCCTTAGTAAACTTTAATGGCTTTGTTTCATGGCAGAGTTTAACCTTGCACGTTTTATTGGCATCTTAGGATTGAGGTTTATACCCTATAAAAATGTGGAAAAACCTTTTTGACTGTGCGGCATCCTGTAGATTTTAATTGAATCTAAAAAGCATTTAGTAGACATGGCAAGTGTCTGATGCAGGCATTCATTGACCAACTCTAGTTTAGTTAGAATCAAGATATCTTTTGAAAACCACACAGCAGCAACCAGGGTACCAACAATTTACACCTTTTTTTTTTTTTTTTTCTTAATTTAATGTTTTTGCATAGAGCAGCTAATGCAGTATCCATAAACAAACACCCTTTTAAACTAGGTTCTTCTGACTACCTTTGTCACTATTGCGTTCTGTTTGACAGCAAGGTTTACACAGAGCATCGACTGCAGTACAAAAGTAGTCTTTTTGTTAAAACTGAAGTTTAATCTGCTTTTTAAATTGCCCTCTTTGGTTTTGCGCATGCCCCCTCATCAATATGCTAATTAAATGTTTACATAAAACCTTTGTGCCTTGATTACATATGTTATGTTGAACCCATTGATGTCATTACTGGGTCTTTGCTTCTTTATGCAGTGCAGGCAAATCATGACTGGTACCCTGCCTAAAGCTGGCCATACATGGATCGAAATTGGGCTGGTTCAGCAGGGACATCTGTAATTTCGATCCATGTATAGCTACTGTGATTGAACAGAAGTGAATCTACCAATGGATTTCTGTTCAGCCGCCCTGTTGGATTTTAGACACGTGAGCAACTCTGCATGCTGTAGACTGCAGCAATGATCTGTGTATTCTGATAACAAGGAACTCTCCCTGCTGTCAGAATACAAAGTCATATTGGAGAGGATTCCCCCATCCCCCTTGAATGTGTGGATAGGGGATTTGGGTCAGTTTTTTACTTTTAATTTTTTTTCCAGCACACTGGTTGAATGAAACACTGACTCATCTATGGCTAGTCTTTAGTACTCCTCCCAAGAGCGCTCAGCCCTGATGCAAGCAGTGTGCTGGCCCTTGAGGAGGGTTACGTAAATATCAAAATGCATTTATGGGTGGGTGTTTTAGACTGTCTGCATTTGCATGCAAGCCACCCTACGTTAATGCTCATTGGAGTGCTGAGCCTTAACAATTGAAGGAACTGAAATTAAAGAAGTGGGCCAGAGAAAGGGTGGGGAAGAAAGAGCTAAATGATGCTGGACATCTTCCATCCTGGAAATGAGGCAGGCTCTTGCTGCAGCTTCTAATTCTCACTGCAAGAAGCTCAGTTTTTCAGTGAAATCAGAGTAAGCGATTTTAGTACAAGAGGAGAACCTGTAGCCATGTAGGGTTGATGTGACAAGGAGGAACCACACACCAGCACTAGAGCCACATTTTGCACATGCATCTATTCATTGTTTATTATCATATTAAGGTGGTGTGTGTTCATTTTAAATTCTAGTAGTTAATGCTTTTTCAAAACCCTGTAGTGGGGCTATGCATGTTCTATTGCCATTTTTAGATGCAAGTGACGCTTAGCGGAACTCTTCTTTAACCGTTTTGGGGAATGACAGTTTGCATTCTACACTTCCACATGGCTCTGTGAGACAGCTGGGCTCCTGTTCTCGTTAGGAATCCCCGGCCTGTAAACATGTGATGGGAATGTTCTGCTTGGCACAGAAAGTCTGAATCATAGCAGCACTACATCATAGCTGGATTTACATTCACACGTTACATGTTCACTCCACAGCTGCTAGAAGATGATGCATACTTTCCAGGCTAAAAGCTGAAGGGAAAGTTTACTTTCGAACACCATGCGATTATTAAATGACACACAAGATACATGCTGTGCAAGTGGTTCCTGGAAGTGGGCGGCTTATTTATTTGAAATGTTCCTCTGTATTGCGCAGTGACTGAGCATCATGGGATGTGTAGTTAAATACCATCGGCTCGTGAACCGTTTGTCAAGAGACATTGGTCATCCTTTTATATGTGTTGTTTTTTTTTTTTTTTTTTGCACTATATACTGCACTGTAAATGATTGTTTTAAGTAGCATAACAAATGCTGTATAGTTTTTCTAAAGGAAAGAGGATTGTACTGCATATCACTATATTGCAAATATATTTTTGGTGTATGGTGGTGCACCCTTCGTTACTGTTTGCTGTATGAATGGTATACAGCATCATTGGTTCAAAATAAGAGCTTATGCACAGTCAGTTTAAACAGATTACTGTTGCTAGACTTAACTAATTTATTACCTTTTTTTGTGTATTTAGACGAAACTGCATCTTAGCAGATGAAATGGGTTTGGGAAAAACAATCCAATCAATTACCTTCCTGTATGAGATCTTTTTGAAGGGCATTCATGGTCCATTCTTGGTTATTGCTCCACTGTCAACGATCCCTAACTGGGAGAGAGAATTCCGCACATGGACAGAACTGAATGTTGTAGTTTATCACGGGAGTCAAGCAAGCAGGAAAACCATACAGCTCTATGAAATGTACTTTAAAGATTCACAGGTAGGTTGGATGTCACCCAAATCCTTTAAAACAAAAAATAAACTTTTAAACAATTTTGACTTAGCTGATTGTTTTAAAGTGAGCATATCAGCAATATTTTTGTGACTCACAGTGCTCTTCTTTATTTTACTATTTATATTTAATTTACACAAGTGTTAATTGTTTACTTGGTTATCTGTATATTAAATATTATTTGTATACTAGATGATATCGGTATATTAGTTTGATCAGTGTCCTTATTAAATCGTTTAATTAATGGAGAGAGAGAGAGACTATTGCGTTCATATCTAAACCAAGAGCAAAATTGTAAGCTAATGGCAGCTTACCATTATAAGTTGTGGCTTATTTTTTCTTCAGACTTTTGTTTTTGCATCTGGTGATCTTTGCAATAATATGTATCCTGTCTTGGGGTGACTATGCTCATTCACTGTACTATATCTGTGGTGAAGCAGTGTTATCATCCCAAGTCGTAACTACAGAACACCCCCACCTTACTCATCTCCATAACTTGAGGGAGGTGTTCTTTCATTCAGTGTCACAGTGTTAACCTGAGCGGGGATGATACGACTGAGATTTCAGTGCAGCAGAGGCAGCGTTGTCAGTGAACAGATACAACAAAATGCTTTCAAAGGTATATTCAATAGACCAAAAAGGAGCAAATAACAGACGTTCATTGTTGGGGTTTGTATACACTTATATGTTGAGTGCATATGCATGTTCCCATGTATGCATGTATTTAAAGGAGAAGTCGGTCCAAAGCTCTTTTGGTCATACTTCTCCTGTAGTTCTGTGCTCCTGTGACCCAGATTCAGCCGACAGCGGGCCAAAACCCACCAACAGGTGACATCACAGAGCCGGTCCAGGCTGTGCAGGGATCCTGACAATAATGTTGGGATCCACCCAGATGCCTGAGCCAGCAGCTGGCTCTGCCTCTCAGTGCACTAAGAGCCTGAGCCAGCAGCTCCCACCCCCTCCACAGTCTGGTGCTCCAGTGAGCGTTGGAGGGGCAGAACACAGAGTGGAGACTGACACAGCTCTGTGTTCATAGCAGACCTGAGCGATCAGCGGTCTCCGCTCTCAGTGTAGAGCCAGCGGGGGATCGATGCTGCAGCCATCTAGGTGAGTATGTACTGTATGTTTGCATCCCATACGTTTTTTAAGTTACAGTAAATTTAAACCTTTTAATATTTTTTTTTTTAGATTAAACTTTACTTATTTACACCAAAAAATGAAATCTTTGGGGTTCTTCTTATGCTATAAGTTCATGCATGTAGTGGCCCATCTCTGCTAAGAAAATGGTTGCATTCATTTTCAGTACCTCATTTGGGCTCTTGATATTTTCTCACCCCAATGTTTACGGTCTTTGTATTTGCATAAAGCCTTGAAATGTTACTCTTAAGGTGCTTTAGATAAAAGCTTATCCTTATTCTCTTACTTGGGGTGCTGACATTCTGTGCTTTGTATCAAAACATCCCCCCTTAACCTAATGGCCCTGTGACTTTCACCAAGGCACAAGTAAAGTAATGTGGCAAAGTCTAACATATCTTGGTTTTCACTGGTTTCCTGTGCTGACTAAACAGTAGTTGTATGTTGCCTTCGGAATCCAGGGTGTAATAAGAAGATACGTGCCTGTAATGGGTGAGTGTAGTAAATGAATGCCTTAGTCTGATATATTTTTAGGACAGCTGCTTCCTAGAGGATGTATTTTCCGTATTTTTAGCGTGTCATTTTAGCTTCTGTTCACAGCCTATGGTTTTCCCAGTTTTTCTATCTGTGGATAACTTGGCAGTGTGACACTTCCTCCTGTTATTAAATATAGATAAAACAAAATGACCAGGCGTATTGTGAATTATACCTTTTTAGTGGCTTAAAAAAATCTAATGCAAGCTTTCCAAGTACAAAGGCCTTTGTCAAGCATATGAACAGATGAAAGCTGAGATGAAGTACAGAATATGTACACATTCTGAACTCACACATTGTATACTGATAAAATGTAAACATAGACATATGGTCCTCCCACCTTCCTCGTGTGCTAACTGATATTTTTTTTTTTTTCCCCTATTTTAAGGGTAAAGCAATAAAGGGTGCCTACCGGTTCCATGCCATCATTACAACATTTGAAATGATTCTGACAGACTGCCCTGAGCTCAGAAACATCCACTGGCGATGTGTGATTATTGACGAGGCTCACCGGCTAAAAAAACAGAAACTGTAAGCTCTTGGAAGGGCTAAAGATGATGGATTTGGTGAGTTTTGTCCCTTCTTGTGTTCTTTAGTAACACCGTACATGAGGCAAAACAGAAACACATACTAACTGGTTATCTTCTTTTATTTCAATTCCTCTAAATTGCAGAAAGCTGAATTGTGATTGGTTGTTGAAGAAAGTAAGCTAGACAAGGGGTTAAAATTTCGAGTCCAGACCTACTAGCTGGTCACAAAACTTACTCTCCACCAGTTGCCCCACCCAACCTTGCCCGGGTCTGCCCCCACCCCCCCGGCCCACCCCAAACCACGCCCCATTAAAGTTTATGAAATTACATTTTTCTTTAGAATAAATAGTCCAAAATATAAAACTGTATAAAGTAATGTATAGCCCTGCTACCCTGTACTCCATTATAGTGATGACATGTATGCAGTAATGTGTATCCCAGCTCCCCTGTACTCGATTATAGTGATATGACATGTATACAGTAATGTATATCCCAGCTCCCCTGTACTCCATTATAGTGATATGACATGTATAAAGTAATGATTACTGTATACATGTCATATCACTATAATGGAGTACAGGGGAGCTGGGATATACATTACTGTATACATGTCATATCACTATAATGGAGTACAGGGGAGCTGGGATACACATTACTGCATACATGTCATCACTATAATGGAGTACAGGGGAGCTGGGGATATACATTACTGTATACATGCCATATGACTATAATGGAGTACAGGGGAGCTGGGATATACATTACTGTATACATGTCATATCACTATAAAGTACAGGGGAGCTGGGATACACATTACTGATTAATGTATATCCCAGCTCCCCAGTACCCCATTATAGTGATAGGACATGTATACAGTACTTACTGTCCCCCCGAGTCCCCCGCTGCGGTGGAGAGGGTGTCTCCTCTCAGCGTAGGAGAGTGGACCTTTCCTGCACCTGTCCCCCTCGGCGGTGGTGCCGCAGAAACCGGAAGTTGTAAACTGGAACTCGGCTTCACAATGAGGCTTGGAGCGCAGGTGCAGTTGCTCCATGCTTCTGTGCTCGCAGCCGCTCGCCACAGAGGAATTTCTGCTCGCATTTGGCGAGCGGCTTTTTCAAGCCCTAGGCTAGACTAGCAGTTTCCACAAGGGAGCAGTATAGAACAGAGCCTTGATAAGATTAGGCTTTAGCTTGGTGCACGCCTACAGGGAATGCACTTGGTGTACACATGCTAGCACTGCTTCAAATTTGAAGTTGGGCACCCCCCCACTCATGCCATAATGCACCGTGGGAGCCTCAACAACTTTTTGAGTTTCCCTTTTTTCTTTCCCTTTCTTTTTTTTTTTTTTTTTTTTTTTTTTTTTTTTTTTTTTTGGTGTGGGGGCGGTTGCATTGTCTGTTAGAGATTATACTATTTGAAGTGAGGTGATCTATGTATGCTGCAATTTCTGAGACAAAACTTCCATCAACAGACTGTGGAATACCAGATTCTTTTTTTATGTCTGCTAAAAGGCAGCATGTCCCTTTTTTTTTTTTCTTTTCTTTGACAGATTTCCTATAACCTGTTGGTACAGAACGAATTCATTCAATTTGCTCAAAAATGAATAATTTTGAGTTTCTGAAATTTTTTGCTATGCAGCAAGGACTGTTATTTGTATTCATGGGAACACCTCTGTACATGGCTTTCTGCTGCATCCGTCATTTAGACAAGATCATCTTGTGAGTGGGGACAGGAGGTGCCACGTGTGACTGCTGAATCAGCACAGCCAGACTCTGAGGCTAAAGTTGGAACCAGCATCTGTTGTACAAGAATTTGAAATGAGAAGGGAAATGCTTTTCCATACCCTGTACTTGTGGGTTTGGATTGGCTGCTGTGCTGCTGGCTAATAGGAAAGGCGTCTGCACAACCTGTGGCTGTCCAGCTGCTGAATTGCGCCTCCTTTCTGCAGGCAGCTATATCTAAACCAGGAATGTAAAAGTTGTAGGGTGACTGGTACTGGGATGTATCTTTTAACTTGCTTTAACTTGTTTATATGTGCGGGAGATGCATTATTGGGCCCAAACAGGTAAATAAGACTAGAAAAACAGAGTACTGTCTTTTGAGTTTTCTCACTGATATACACTTAGTAAAATACAAGAGAATAATCTCATTATCAAATTGTCTAAAAGTTGTTGAATTACAATACATCAATTGTAATAACATTGCAATATTACATAATAAAGGGGTCACTTTAAATTTGTCTTTAAACCGTTTTATAGTGGACTGAACTTGCAAATCTGCTACACTAAGGCTCCTTTCACCCTTGTGGAGTCTACCTGCCCCCCTTTTCAGAGAACGGTGAGCGGTGGCCAGGGGCGGACAGACAACTCATGGGACCTCCGGGTAATAGGGGGTCATGGGGCCCCTGTGTCCTTGCCCAAACTAAAAAAACGCCTATGAAAAAGGTACCAGGGGCACCTCATGGGGCCCCCTACTGACATGCCCAAATTTCCGGGTTTTTTTTTTTTTTTCTGTAATTACCGAACAGCAAATTTGCATTGTGGGATCGTGCTGCAACGGATAGCCAAACATTTGGATCATAGCCCCATTTATCTACATGGGAGAGTTAACAGTGCCACACTCAGCATATAGCATTAAAGTTGCTGCTCTGTGATGCAGAACATTTTAACTACAGCAGTGTATACCCATCCAAGTGGCACTATGTCTGCTTGTAGGTGGGTGGTCTAGGGGCAGTAAATATACAGATCAACCTCCTGCTTTTACCCCATCTCCTGGCTGTCCATGTGAAAATAGCCTTAGGGTCTATAATTTTGCTACTCTAGAACACAATGTGACTTCAGAGCTGCTGTAAAAAAAAAAAAAGGTTCATCCCATTTTTACATTATTAATTTTAGTATTCTGATGTACAGTTTCTTATCTGCATGATTTAAATTACTACCCTGGTCATTGCAAAAATTGAGAATTGTTCCATAGATATACAAAACTACAGTATTCAAAATTGTGTCATTTTAGCATGAGCATTCTATTTAAAGTGTGGTTGAGAACCTCAGACATGAAATAGGAACGGAACACAACCTTTTGTAGTGTGTACGTGTGTCTATCCCAGGCACTGAGTGTCATTTCTGTCTGTATTTCTGACAGGTTTTCCAGACACCAAGTGTTAAAAGGGTTACAGGGAGGGAGCTCCAGTACACAGCATGTGATTTATATCCCTAAAGTGTTACTAAACCCACAATAGTAAAATCCGTCTGTATATATAAAGCATGCTTGTTATACTCACTGTGGTATCTAAGGGGTTGATCCTCCTCTGCGATGTGTAAAAAGGCTGTTTGATCCTGTCTTCTTTGATCCTCCCATTCTTCCACTTCTTCCTAATCCATCTGCCATAGTTGGAGCAGCAGTGGCAAGTCTGCACATGCTGTGTTTTGGTGTGTGTATATATTTTTTTTGAGGGTGCATGAGATTGGCACAGGGCTAATCAGTGCTGTGTCAGTGGTTATGCAGCCTCATAGGACAGTCAGAGGAGAGTGAAAACTCCTCTTACAACATTAACCAGTGCTCTGCTGGACACTGAAGTCACAAACTGCTAAAACTTCTGGTGAGAAAAGGTAATTAGTAGCTTATATTTACTAAAATATTTGCATTTCCATGTTTTGTATGGTAAAAGACCGGATATAGTGAGTGCAAGGTCCTGGGTTTAGTAACACTGTAAGTTGTGCATGGTCCTGTGGTCTGCGTGTAGGGGTGTGTGTCCCTTTTCTTCCAGTGAGCTTTCCTCTCTGTGTATAACTTGAGATCCCAGCCCACTGCTGCTGAAGCTGAGAAAAAATACTTTGATCTGTGTGTTTTTAAAATGATCTACAGGACATATGGCTGTAAATAGGTACAACTTGTGTAGGAGGATTTGTTTAATCTCTATGTATCATCTGAGGTTAGTCACTTCACTGGGTATAGGCGAGAGTTTTCAACCACTTTAAAAAAAAAAAAGTTCAGTTGAAAAGCATGCACATGCATCATTGGTCATTTTAGTTGTTTTATACTGTTTTTTTTTTTTTTTTTTTTTTTTTTTTTTTTTTTTTTTTTTTGCTCATTTCCACTTCTAGCGTGGATGGGGTGGTTTTGCTGTACCTCATGAACTGTGAGGTGCATGTAGTAGAAAAATGGTAGAATTGTAATTAGGAGGGAAGGAGGTGGAATATTGGATCTTTAATGTGAAGATCAAGAATTGCACCTCCTTTGTTGAGTTTCTGCCATGGATGTGCAGGTATTTTCGAAATGTGAAGGAATTTGAGTCTGTGTTAGGCATCTGACCAACTAAATATTAATTTTTTTCAAGTCAAATTAAAGCTATGGAATAAGCGTGGTCTCTCATTAAATGATTGCTGATTAAAGTTGGTGTTTCTACCGTTGGTGAAAATTAACTTTTTACTCTTCTGGTCTTCATTTTCATTGATTTCAGGAACACAAAGTGCTGCTAACAGGGACCCCTTTGCAAAACACTGTGGAGGAGCTTTTCAGCCTGCTGAACTTCCTAGAACCCGAACGCTTCCCATCAGAGAGCAATTTTATGCAAGAGTTTGGTGATCTAAAAACTGAAGAACAGGTAGGAGACCTAACCATTTTTACTGCACAGATGATATCAGACTTCCTGAGAGGTATCTGCTTAATGGAACAGTCAGACTGGATTACACAGTTGCTTAAGTGTTTTGCACCAAATTTCTTTTTAGGTACAAAAGCTTCAAGCAATACTTAAACCGATGATGTTAAGACGTCTTAAAAGAAGATGTTGAGAAGAATTTGGCCCCAAAGGAAGAAACCATTATCGAATAGAACTGACAAACATCCAGAAGAAATATTACAGAGCCATCTTGGAGAAGAATTTTGCTTTCCTTTCCAAAGGAAGTGGCGGTGGCCATGCAAATGTTCCTAACCTTCTAAACACTATGATGGAGCTGAGAAAATGCTGCAACCATCCTTACCTTATTAATGGTAAATCATATTTATATTGTGTGAATAACTGACTGGAATGATGGATTGTTTTTATGAGATTCTCATTTCTCAGGAAAATTGCACAAAAAGGGAATTATCCCTGGCACAGTGGGTTCAGCAGCATGTGAGCATTTAAAGCTGAATGAGGACACTGTTGCTGCCACCACTGTATGTGGCAGACTGTTATGTCTATGCACTGCCACACGTTTGTTCCTATAAATCACTATAGCACACAGTAATACACAATTTCTTTCCTGTCCATTGAAGGAAACAGGAAGTTGTTTACCTTAGGGATATACTGCCACCTAAAGGAGGATTAGACACTGGCAAACACACAAAAGAATGCAGGGATGCCCTAGTTAACTCATCCCACTACCAGCACACCTCAATTGTTTGCTAGTGTCCTAGAAGGATTCTCAGCATTGCTGTTGAAACAACTGACCTCTTTTTTTGCTAGTACTTTTTTTCTCATTCATGACTGTTCTTTCATCTGTGCTACAACTTCTGCCTACAGGTGTAGCTTTCCTCCGCTTTAGTTTTGGTGTACTGCGTCCATACCATGCCGAATTGGGCATTACTGGGCTGGCATGGAAATTGACTTTAGGCATTGGGTTCCACGTAAGGTCCTTTCCAGACCTCAGTCTGTTTGCCACATATATCAGCTGTTTCATAAGTGTCATGTGTCTGTGTTTAACCTTGTTCAAGGCAGACTGTTTTTTCCATTCTCTTTCTGTCTCAGCACAATTCTGGAGTCAGGAAAGCGTTTCCCACCTTTTCAATGAACCTGTTATCAGAATTCTTGTTTCCCAGTCTACATCCTGCAGTTTCAGGAGATGTAGTTTCCTCTTAATCGCTGGATCATTCCCCTAGCAGGTCATTTGATCTGGATCCATTTGGACATTGCCACAGTGCTGGCATGCCTCAACCATCAGAGGAACAAAGGATCTTGCTGTGAAGAGAGGTAGTTTGGATCCTTACCTGGGGAGAACTTAAAGTTCTAGGCCTGTTTGCTCAGTTCATCTCAGTTGCAGCCAGTAGGAGAAAATTCCTGAGTGTATGTCCAGGACCTTGGTTTGCATGTTGAGGACAACAGATGTGGGCTCCTTGATATCCTGGTACAACTGAATGCTAAACTGGTTTGTTTACAGAGTCAAGAATCCTCTAGTAGTAGAAGAGAATGCTCTGTTGACGCCATAGGTCTGTACGCCCGGACCTAGGCCCTTCCTCTAACGCTTCCTCGGGCAGAGGGCTTTTCCAGATTGCCCCAAGTAAATGTACTTTGCAACCTTGCAAAGCTCCTGACTGACACATTGGTGGATTGTAATCATAGTGGTGGTGGTGGGGAAAAATATGTTGATCAAGGGTAGAAAATGTATTCCAACAAAGTCTATCATGGGGCTTCACCCCAGGCATGTTTTCCCCTTCTTGCAGATTGTTTGGACTATAGCCTAGCTCTCAAAACTATCAAGTCTGCATTCTTCCTTGCAATTTTTTTTAAAGCAGGTTAATCTTCTATCCCTTGCCTGAGTCTTAATGAGGTTCAATATACCTTACTTTGTTTGATGCCATACAGTAAAAACTTTGTTTGCAATTTTAGAAACTGCCATCTGGACTCCTTGGAGGTCATAACCCTCTTTCTTTTTGACCATGCTCTCAGTACTGCTTTGCTACAAATCTGAGACATGCTGGTAGATGGAGGGTTATCCTGGGCTGGTATACAGTTTGTTTTGTTTTTTTTGTTGCCATTTTGCAATTCTTCTGCAGGCAGCAGTAAATCCCAAAGGTGACAGACATCCTATATCCCTCAATAGACTCCCAGAAATTGATTTTACGGTTAATACAAAAATTCCATTTTCAAGTCTGATTATTTTTTTCTTTTTTTGATCTGTTTATTTGCTATGTGTGGAAGAATCTGATAAGCACTGAATGGTGGTCTTGTTAAGGCGCTTGATGTTTAGCCTTCAATGGCCTTGTCTTTGTACCAATATGGTAGAGCAAGAGCCAAACATTTGAGCTCATGAACCACTTCTAAATGTAAGAAGTAGAAAGGAATCATGCCAGGTGTGAAAAGGAATGCTCAGATGTTTGCTAGCAATTTAGAATTGAAAGGTTCTGTGTGTTTTCAAGTGAGTCAAAATAAACATTTATATAAAATTGCGTAACTTGAGTCAAGCCAATAGAAGTATAACATAGTAGCTGTCCAGAAAAGTACCTGTTGTGAATATGTCCTCCCAAGCCATCGGTTTAGGATCAGTTGGGCAGTCTGTGGCAGTGCCTTATCAGATGGTGCCTTTTTTTTTCGCTGGCTTAACCTGGTTGGTTGCTGTGTGCTTTCATTACTGGAAGTACAAAGTATACAAAGACCAAATGTGTTTACACTGCTCTAGTGGCTGGCATAGTTTTTTTGTGATCTACAGCTTTAAATGTTGGATTGGTGGTCTCCAAGATTTGAATCAGATTTTTATGTATGGATTCTTTGAATCTGTTTTTTTTTTTTTTTTTGGTGATGTATTGCAGTCACAAACTTCAGCCAAAGACTTTTGGATAGTGAAGAGAAGGGTTAGAATCTTGGTAAAGTTTTTTATTGCTGTGTGCACTATAAGGAGATATCCTTGCACTCCCGTGCTCGTGAGAAGTGACAAGTAGGATAAAAAGTAAGAGGAAAATTATTGCTGTCAAAGATGGCAAAAGAAGCATTTTCTGTTTTTAAGTAGGGTAGGAAAATAATAGAACTTTGGGAGTTAATATTTTTCTGTGAACCTATCCAGAAGATTTCCTTTACTCTCTCAGAATCTGATTCATCATAAAAATAGCCAATGTTTTGGGATCATATAGGGCCTCTTAACAAGGCACTATGCTGATATAAAAGGGGCCCTGTGAGATCCCATACCTTCAAATTTATTATATTGTAATTACCATGCAAAAGTTAAAGTATATCTAAACCCAGCAACAAAAAAATGTTAAAGTATATCTAAAGGCAAAACTTTATTTTTTTTAAATTTTAATAGAATTGAGAGGGATTGGAACACCAATCTGTTTTTAATTGCCTCCTATGCCTCTGTTGGAAAGGTTCACCCTCTCTAGTTGTCCATTTTTTTTCCCAATATCACTGGAAGTGAAAGTAAGAGATCCCACATTTTGGGTTGTCCCCAAAACAGAATAGGAAAATCTTCCAATGGGAACCCTAGTTACGATGACACTGGTGACTCTGGATTTCTTCAATTTGGTGGGATTTCTTCTCACTTCCTCTTTGGTTGCAGTACAGGAAGTGAAGGTAAATGGGACACAGGTGGCAAAAAACCAAAAAACAAAAACTGACTGGTTCTATCCCTCCCTTACTCTGATCGAAATGGAAAAGAAAAGTTTTGCTTTTTTTGTTCTACTTTAACAATTGCAATTTACAACCCCTTAGATGCCTTAATCTCACCTCTATTTTCATTGTTGGCTTAAGAAATAAAAAACGAATGCGGTCACCACATTGAAGGGATGCAAACTAATCATTTTTTTCCATTTTCGACTTCACGGTTGTGTGCTGGTGAAAAATATGACAGACCTTTGATAGTGCCTTCCACCTTATTACTTCAGTACCCTACATAGATTGGATCAAGGCTGTATCGTGTATGACTGGCATTTTTTTTTCCTTTTATTACCAGGATGGAAACTCAAAGCACAATAAAATCCCAACAGAGGTTCACACTTCTCCATGCCACCAAAAACTAAAATTAGGCTGGCGTTCCGCTTTAAACCTTATTTAAGGGTTTGCGAATTATAGTTCAAAAGCGTCCTCTTTGTTGGCAGGTGGTTGAAGCAGTTTAAGTTGTGAATTCTTTTTTACAGCCCTGTTGAGTATTCTCTTTGTGCTTTTTAGAAGGGGGAGAAACTGAATACTGACTTGAAAGAGATACGACGACCCTCTAGCCAATGACCATTGTAAGAGAATCTTTATCACGCATTCTCTAATTACTATTTTACACCACTTGGATACATTTTATTAAGTAAGATTTCACACTGCTTGACTGTTACAAATCCACTTGCCCCAAATAGCACTTTCCAACCAGTGACTTTTTCCTTGCTCCTGGTGGTTCTTCAGCAGTGAGGTTTTTTGATGCTGCTAATAAAAGATGAATGTGTATAGACAGGCTCATTAATTCCTGCTTTAGCTGACTAAGCACCACTTTAATGCTATTGAATTTGACTTTGATGCACAATGCGAATGCAAAGCTTAACATTCTCAGCAAAGTCAAAATGTTTCCTATGGTTTTTGTAGTTATCAACAAAATTACTATTGTGTGCGTGTGTTGACGTGCGTATTGGCAGCATATGCCATTAACATACCCATACATGACTGTTACCGTGGGGGAAATATATATTTATTTTTTTTGGAGGGGGGGGATGTAATCTGCTAATAGCCCAATCTATGTAGCTGAAAGGCTTTCTGTGGTCAGTCGATATCCAGACATAAAACAGCTATGATTGTAGATGTGGTCATAAACCAATGTAGTCATAAGTATGAACATTTAGGCTATCTGAAAGTCTAGCTAAGATGCCAAACAGCGAGATCTTTAAGATAACCACAGATTTAGTCAAATCGGTTAAGTATCTGCCTTCTTGAAGCCTGGGAACTTTGCATGAGAAATTATCATTGAGGTGTTTTGCTTTCTTTAAGAGACCTACTTTCTGAAGAAGATGCACTCGGATTCTAGAGCCAATACCATAAATTTTACCTGTTCTTGAGTGTACACCCTAGTTGCAGCAGTGTATATTCTGCTGGGTTCAGGGGCAGACTGACAACTCATGGGGCCCCTGTGTCAGGGCAATAGGGGATCATGTGGCCCGTGTCCTTGCCCAAACTCAAAAAAGCCTATGAAAAAGGTACCAGGGGCATCTCATGGGGCCCCCTACTGACCCCGGGCCCTCGGGCGGTGCCCGAGTTTCCAAATGGTCAGTCCGCCCCTGGATGGGTTATCAAAGGTGGAAATATTTCTTCCGTTTTCAGTCCTGGCCAGCTCTGTTGATGTTTTATATATTAACCTCTTTGGTAGTTTTCCCCTAATCATACAAATTAAGCCTTGGAATCTTCTTCTAGAATCTGGGGGAGCAGGCAGAAATCTTTGTTCTTTTACATTGCATATGGTAGAATAATGTTGCTCTTGGAAGTCATCCTTAAATAGGTTTAATTGTTTTTGTTTCATGTATATAATAATTCATGGATTACAGCTGCTTGGAGTTGAAGAATGTTTGAGAGCCTAAAGTAGGGTATAATTTCCTGCCCTTTTTCTGAAAGGAAGTAGAGATGCCTGTAGTAGCCAGCTTAGATGATAGTGTTAAGTTGGAATCTAACTGCCATTTTTTTCAGTGCAGGTTTGAAAATTAAAATCTAAGGAAAGAGTTTGATTTTTATTTCCTCTTTGCTCCTATATGCCAAATTTTCCTTGGAAGAAAAACATGAAGATGTATATATGCAGTATACAATTCAGTTCTCTATTAACAATATGTGAGGAAAGCTCAGAGTGAAATGCCTGTACAGCCGTTTGCAGTTAATGAATCTGTGACTGTCCCTTTAAGGGTGCATCTGCATTTCCACCTAACCCCCTCATAAAGCTGTTTGCAAATTATATTTAATTACAACCTGGTAACCTACGGTGATTGATGTGCAGCGTCCTCCAGCCCCCTATTTCCTTTCCCCCCAGGCTATGACTCTCACTCACAATAACATTTTTAGACAAGGCTGTCACTTGTGGGGGTGGATTTCTTCCTGGGCAGTTTGCCCCGGGCCCCGTGCTGCTGACTCAGTCAGGAGCCGCGTGTGCCGTCTGTTTGGATGTTGTATGCTGGCTTGCTCTTTCCTCTGGGCCCTGCTTACAATTTCTGCCCTTGGACTGTGAGCCCTCGCCTTAAGCATTTCTGATATGCCTTTACTGTAGCGTTTCTCATTTGTCAAACCTATATCCAACTAATTCTCGTCACATCGACTTTAAAGAGTTATCAGTCATTTAGTGAGCACACTGATGCACTTGCTTTGCATGGGAATGTTGCGCCGTGCGGTCCGTTTACAGCGACATGCTGAGTGGTCTGTGTGTCCCTGAAGAGTTAACTGATTGCTGTTGCTTAAAGAAGAATTGACTGTATGAACTGTAAATGTAAAAACATTGGATTCAAGTCACGTAGTACTGATCTACTTCAAGTGCACTCCATGGGACATAATTGGTGTCTCTATTTAAAGTGTCCTTTTCTTTGCTACACTTGGCAGAGAAATAATGACTCCATTTGATATGTTTGTATGCTAATTTTGTCTTGACAAAGCTAGTTGTCATATGTTAGGACAACAATGCCATTGGCTGCCAGGGAAGGTGAGTGTTGCTGTACAGTTCTTAGAATTGTAACAATTCATCTATCAGCGTTCTTCTTTACCAAGGAACATGATTGTTTGCTTTTTATTAAAGGAAGCTATGGTATATTTCCAATGATTATGCCATTCTACTTTATCCAAAAGCACATTTTTGCAAGCCTTTCATGTTTTACTTGCTGTTGTATATTTGTCTGTACAAAGTAGTAGATGTACCCCTAGTGGCCATCTGTTGTCCAGCATAGAATCTGAACATTTGAGTTATAATATGTTCTAGATTATAGATTTTAGCATCATGGGTCTAAGCTGACTTTTAGGCTTGCAGTAATATAAAAGGGAAAGTAAAGTGGCCAAGAATTTTTAGTTGTTAACCCTAACTTCAGCCTTCTAGTTATGTTTTGACTGAAGCTGGACTTTTCTTTGAGGCTTCCAAAGAGTTAGGAAGGCTTTTAATGTGGTGTCGTTACAGGGTAGAATTCTTCACCTAGTGTACCAGTGACCGATTGTCAGAGGAACAGGAATGTGAAGTGATGGTAAATTTCTCCAGTAGGGGGAGTCAGCAACAAAAGGGTTAGACCCTTTGGTAGGTTTCATTTCTGTCCATGAGTCTTCCTGTCTTGGTTTTGCATACAATATCAGTGGAAATCCATCCACTGGTGTCAGAGAAAGTAATATATACCCATATGATTGATCTTTTTTCCACTTCATCTAAAACAAAACAAAAAAATCTGAGGTTCCACTTATACGTTTCTTTGCTTTATCTATGCTGGGCAAAATGACAAGTTTGCTTTCAATGCACCAGTGTTAGCAACCTCTACTTAAAGCGGAACTTCACTCTCTGTCAACATTGACTATTTTAAATCCCTATTCTATAAGTGTTAGTAATGCATACCGCTGCTCCTAAACTCCCCTCAATAAAAGCTGATGTGTCCATGCACACATAGGCTTTTACCAAAGTTTAGAGTAGTAAAGTTTAGAGGCAGTAAATTGCTGCTTCCCTGAATGCAGAAGAATCATGTTCAGGAGAGGAGTGTTTTGACAGAAAAACACCAAGCGCAACAAAAACATGTGTAAACAATAGACATGTTTAGCGCTTTGGAGTTTTTTTTTTCATCTCGACGGCCAGAATAAATTATATATTCTAGCCAATTAAGTTAATAAGCGCTTGATGAGGGTGAAAGCAGTACACACATTTACCAGCGTCAAGATTGTGTTGCCAGAAACATTGTCAGGAGCAGTTGATTTTAGTTTTCAGTGTGCATGTACCCTGAATAGATAGGAAATAATATATTTACTTATGTTAAACTTTTTTTTTTTTTTCACATTTCTTCAGTTATTTCCTTATTTCCATGCTTAGGCAAAATGCCATACATTCCAGGAGTCTTCAGGAGGGGAGGAAGGTGGGAGGAGTTTTCTCAGCTTAGCACACCCTCCTGCCTGCATGCCTGAGCTAAGGACAGAGGGATTCCAGGAAGTAAATGCTACATGAATTATCTGCCCTTACTCAATAAGGTTACGGACAGAAAAGCTAGGGGGGTGTTTTCCAGAAAAATAAAGCATGGGGACATGGATGGATGAGTGAGTTTGCTTTGAATATTAAAAATGAATTAAATAGCATTTTTTGTTTTGTGGCACTTAGATGTAGTGTAGTTCCACTTTAATCTTCTCTGTGTTCCCCTGCTGCCCTGATCCACTGTAGAGCCTATAGAAAACCCCATATTCTGAATATCGGGAGATTATATACTCCTCAAAGTGCAGCACTAACCCAAATCACAGGGGGACAAGAGTAATGTGCCTAACTCTCCGTAAGCCTGCACAGGTGATAATTAGGGAAAAAGTGGAGATGGTAAGTTTTCAATGCCACCAGTGAACAAACAATACTGGTAGAATGCAAACGCCATAACTATTCTGTAGCTGCTTTTTTTTGCTTTGTTGTTTGTTCTTAATATTGCATGAAATTTATTGTCTTGCTGTATTTATCCAGGCAGTAGTTATATATAGATGAATACTTTTTATAACATGTATTGGTGCACTTCAGAATATGATTCTTAGAAGGATGCTGTGTTGTGTTAAAATGGCACTGGTCTCAATTTTGGTAATACCTTTTAAGATTGGAAGGTGAATAGCTGAAGGGCAATGTAATGATTTGTCATTTTATAGTTTTGATTCCCATCATTGCTCTCATAAAACATTTCATGTACAGGTGACTGACTATATTTACTATCTTTTTTTTCTGACTGGTTCCTACTTTAAATGACTTTTAAGTAATGGCGTTCCCAATAAAACCCATGTTTCCATGAACATTTGGTAACTTTTCAAGGTTTCTGAGAGTAAAGATCAGCTATTCCTAAGCTGGCTCCTTTCCTAATTTGTCGGTTGTTTTTTTTCTTTTTTGCTGTGGTTGTAGACTTGATTCCCTCCCCTTCCCCCTTTAAATTTGCAGGTCCCAAGGGCATACAACTTTCCATTTACATTCCATATCTGAATCTCTCTGCAGGTGCTGAAGAGAAAATTTTGGAAGAATTTAAGGAGGCGCACAACGGTGACCTTCCAGATTTTCAGCTCCAGGCTATGATCCAGGCCGCTGGCAAACTAGTTCTGATTGACAAGCTGCTGCCAAAACTGAAGGCTGGTGGCCACAGGGTGCTCATCTTCTCCCAGATGGTGCGTTGCTTGGACATTCTGGAAGACTACCTCATCCAACGCAGGTGAGTGCATATGCCAACAGAACTGCCAACCACAGAGGCAATAGGAGCATTGCGGACCTGTAAAGATCTGCCCCAGATACATTAAATTGTTTAGGAGTTTGAATATTCACGTGATTGCTCAGTTTTTGCAGCACTCATTTGTGTCATAATAACCCATCAGTGCCTGAGATGTGAATTGATCAGTCTTTTTTTTTTTTTTTTTTTTCCCCTAAGTGAGACAATGGCCATTGATTTAAACAACACAAACCCATATTTTGGAGACATTGATAAATAGACCTAATCTGCTCAGTATTTTTTTTTTTATAAGGATATACATAAACCATAATAATCATGTCTTTTACAAGGAAAGCACTGCGCACATGTTGCCTGCTTCTTGTCAGCTCCTTTTATTGATTGGGAATTAAATCCCAGAGGAAGTCCGGATTTGTTCGGAATGGCAAGATGTGACTTGTAGCAGCAGGGATGAGCTGACTGCAGAGCTGCTGAACAGGCATATATGAGGCACTCGAGCATCCCCTCCTCATTGCCATTCTGTTCACAAGTTTGCAGCTGAAATACATCAACCTTTTCAAGGAGGCTAGTGCTGGAGTTTGTCTTAAGTAAATAAAATAAATTGAAGTACTGGTCTAGATAATAACCCTTATTTTTTTTTTTTTAATTTCCAGATACCCATATGAGAGAATTGATGGCAGAGTGAGAGGCAACCTTCGCCAGGCTGCTATTGACAGATTCTCCAAGCCAGATTCTGATAGGTTTGTGTTCCTGCTGTGTACAAGGGCAGGAGGTCTGGGCATTAATTTAACTGCTGCTGATACTTGCATTATCTTTGTGATTCTGACTGGAACCCCCAGAATGACCTTCAGGTAAGCAGCTTTGCTTTACTGTTTGCTATTTTCTTGGTCTTTTTAAGAGTCTTTGTTATGTGTTCATTTGAAAATAAGTCTCAGATGATAGCAAGTGTTGAATATGTTTATAATTCAATTATGTAAAATTACTTCTTTGGATATTCTTTTTCATAAAATATGGGTTTAAAATCTTTGTGTTAAATGAACTATCCTGTTCGTCAAAAGTGCTAATTATCACTAGTTAATCCCTGTACATCTCGATTTATAGAACCCCTGTTGGGTTCTATGGGTCTGTGTCCTCACTGGGGAGATTTACCTTCGGTTTGTCCTAGTGACCACTGTCGCTGGAGCAGAAAGTTGTCATTAGAAGAGCAATAGAGGGGACATTTCCAGTGGGGACACTTGCTCCAGTGATTGCTGTCTACGAGGAGTTTCCTCACTACTGGTATCTACAGGAAAGGAAGTGAAAGCTGTAGTGTAGTCCACTTTATAACTTGTACCTACAGGTCAGCCTATAATAACCATTCACAACTATAATAGGGCTTACTGTAGGTACAGTGAATATCTCCTAAATGTGCACCGTTTAGAGAAATTCACATTTGTAGTGGCCGGTGACCACACACACACACACACACACACACACACACACACACACACACACACACACACACTGCTTTCTGAATGGATGACACACTGGAGTATGCCGTCCATTGAGAGCACTGTGATGCAATTGTGGTTTCTGTGCACATGCATGGAAGTGACATCATTGTGGCCCAGCCATCCAGAGAGCGCAAACCCGGAAGGAAGACCAGCTGAAGATGGAACTGCCGACAGCGGGGTGACAGTGCGCTGCTGGAAGTGTCCTTTTAAGGTAAATCTGTCAAATTTATGACTTAAACCATCCGGAGGCTTACTTTTTTTTGTCAGAGTTAACTACTTATTGATGGGAAATCTCCTCTGAGACCATGGCCACAGGAAAAAAATTGGACATTTTAACCATTGCCAACCTCTTTCCAAAATGACAATAGTTCTTGCTTTAGATATACTATACGTATTTAAGCATCTCTTACAATGATTGGATTTTATATGGCTGCTCTAAAGCTTTCCATTACAATCTGGACGCCACCATTTTGCAAATTTCATGCAGCATGCTATAGGTCTTAAGTAATTTATTACATTAATAATTAGGTGCTGCAAATGAATAGATCCTGTACTTAATATAACAGATCATTTAATGCCATTTTTTTCTTTTAGGCGCAAGCTCGGTGCCATCGGATTGGACAGAGTAAATCGGTTAAAATTTACCGCCTGATCACAAGAAATTCTTATGAGCGTGAAATGTTTGATAAGGCTAGCCTGAAACTTGGCTTGGATAAGGCAGTTCTGCAGTCCATGAGTGGAAGAGAGAATGCTACGAATGGGGTAAATGGCCTGCAGTTTAGCTTTCATTTAAATAAATTAGGCAGCATTTGCCTTTTCTACTATAGTCCTTTTCATTTCCATCCTTTTTTTTCCCTGTAGGTACAGCAACTTTCCAAGAAGGAGATCGAAGACCTGCTTCGGAAAGGGGCATATGGTGCATTAATGGATGAAGAAGATGAAGGCTCCAAGTTCTGTGAGGAAGATATCGATCAAATACTTTCCAGGAGAACCCATACCATCACTATAGAATCGGAAGGAAAGGGCTCCACCTTTGCAAAAGTATGTTCTATAGGCAGATGTAAGGATTTGTGTTTTCTGAAATTTGGTGCCCATTGCAAGAATTCAGCATCCATCTTTAAAACAAAATATGGTTACAAGGGACATGTGGGGCCCAGTTCTGTGTTTTTGTTCTCGTGGTAAAAGTATGTTTTATGTGGTTAACTAGTAATGAAGTAAACCATTTTGGTTCTATATTTGAACATGTGGAAGGGTTTCACACACAGAAAATTAAACTGGTATTTTAGGACATGTTGCTGCACTGCCACCAAGTCCCCTCCTCCCTCACATACATAAAGAGACAGACAGGCACATCAGCCATCTTGAACAGGGCATTTTCTTGTGTTTTCCTGGTCCTAACCTGGGTTAGAATATTCATTCACCCTGAGGCAAAACCTGCAGAGTCAGTAGTGCCAGAGCGTGCTTCCTATGTACCTTGCTGTCTTAACTAATTTCTTTAAATTGATTTAAATACCAGATTACCTAAAATAAAGATAGTATCAAATTTTTTCTGAGGGCTAAAGGACCAGGGATACTTAAAATCTACAGGTGACCTTTACAGCTTTTTTTTGTCTTTATTTATCAGGCCAGTTTTGTTGCCTCTGGGAACCGGACAGATATTTCTTTGGATGACCCTAATTTCTGGCAGAAGTGGGCCAAGAAAGCAGAGCTCGATCTTGATGTATTAAATGGAAGGGTAAGTACTTATGTATATATTAGCAGTTAGTGTTTTAGTTGTGTGATGCTGCAAGTGGCTTCATCTCCGTATTGGTATCGCTTGTAGAACACACTGGTAATTGACACACACCGCGGGTAAGGAAGCAGACCAGACTTTACAGTGCAGTAAAGGAAGATGAGCTTATGGAGTTCTCTGACCTGGAGAGTGACTCTGAGGACAAACCTAGCATCAAACCACGTCGGCCTCAGGACAAGTCCCAGGGCTATGCGAGAAGCGAATGTTTTAGAGTTGAAAAAAACCTGCTGGTCTATGGGTGAGTAATGCAGCCTCAGACATATTTTTGTACTATGTGTTTGCTCGCTCAATATAGAACATGGGGAAGTAAAATAGCTGAAAGTTTGCTTGTCAGCACGGTCCTGATGAGCAGTGTAATTATAAGCTTGTATGTCATCATATCTTAGACATTGAACTGCTTATTGAGCTCACATTGCACTTTGTCTGTCGGCACACTGTATGAACCTTTTCCATTTGTCGGTAGGTGGGGCCGATGGACAGATATTCTTTCCCACGGCCGCTTCAAGCGTCAACTTACAGAACAAGACGTGGAAACCATCTGCCGTACCATTTTGGTGTACTGTCTCAACCATTACAGAGGGGACGAGAACATCAAAAGCTTTATCTGGGATCTAATCACACCAACAGAAGATGGCCAGACTCGGGCTCTGGTAAACCACTCAGGTACATTACATGTTCACAAAGATTCAACTGTAAAGTGTTACTAGAGGAATTTGAGCTGCATTGGGAGCAGTTTAATCTTCCTGAAAATGCTAGTTGATTGGCTGTCAAGCTTGACCCTCTTTATTACTCTGGTTCACCAACCTAGAATAAGCATTCAGATTTAGTATTCTAACTCTCCTGCTCTGCATACTTGTTTAGAGTTAAGGACCCCCAAAGGATTGATGCCAATGTATTAGCAAAACAGCCAGGCAGCTTGCATTTTCAGATAGTTGCCACATTTCTGTCATGACACGTTTACTCTAGGTATTGAATTTGGTTCAGAGGTTTTATTTGTTGATGTTCCTTGAGCATGTGGAAGATTCCCCTGTAGGTTCTGTCTTGTCATTATGAGTAGGTCTATTCATTGTTTTCGAAGTTGGACCAACTGCATTTAGAATTGAGAAACAAATCACTGATATAAATACTAATATCAATGGTAAAAAAATCCTGAAAGCATTTAATTATGAGTACATTAGTTTCTCAGCTATTGGAACACCTTGCTTCACTGCCTGGAAGTTTTGTAGCTTAAGCCTCTGGTACATGAACTGTGCTGCTCTTATGTTCTAAAATTCACTTCATTGGTCAATGCATCAGCACTTACCTGGTCAGGAGTGGGCTGGAATAAGAAAATGGAAATGCCAGGAGATGCTGATGCCTGTGTTCTGTGCATTGTTAGCTGGTACACAAAGTACTTTTGTTTTGAGCAATTCAACTTGCAAGAACATGTATCAGACATAAGATTTTGACATAATTTTATATTGGTTTTAAGCGCATGTGGTGCTTGACTGTTCTCCATTAACTTAAATCCTCTGCCTTGTCTCTATCCTTACTGGCTGAGCTGTATTGAAGCTGTGTACTGGATAAGGCCTGACAGAGATTCTTAAAGTGTTTGTAAAAGCTCAAGTTTTTTTTACTTTCATGCACTCTATGCATGAAAGTAAAAAAAATAAACTTTCTCTGTACAGCTCCCCCCTTGGCTCTCCGGGGATTCTCCTTCCTTATTCTCCTACTGCTATCAGTCAGCGAACCAGTTGGGGGGGGGGGGGGGCAAGCCACAGCTCTGTGTGTGAATGAGCACACAGAGTAGCGGCTCGGAAGCAAGCCTGCTTGGGTGCCCCCATAGCAAGCTGTTTGCTGTGAGGGCACTAGGCAGGGGGGAGGGGCTAGGACCTCCGACGGGGTATCTGAGAAGAGGAGGATTGGGACAGCTCTATGGAAACTCACTACACAGAGCAGGTAAGTATATCATGTTTCTTTGTGTGTTTTTTTTTTTTTGTTAAAAACTGCCTTTAATATCACTTTAACTGAATCATTGAGATGTCTGCATTTTGTGGAATGCAGTACATTATGTGAGGCACCTTGCAACTGTATATGTGCATATGGCATTCAGTAGTTTTCTTAAGCATCTCTTTTATTTCAGGCCTCTCTGCTCCGGTACCCAGGGGCAGGAAAGGAAAGAAGGTGAAAAGCCAGAATTCGCAGCCTGTGCTCAAGCATGCAGACTGGCTCCCCAGCTGCAATCCCGATACCTTGTTTCAGGAGGATAGCTACAAAAAGCACCTTAAGCATCACTGTAACAAGTAAGTAGTGAAAGTGGTTTTCTTATGCAGTGTGGTCACAGAACACAGACAGATTGTGCTGATTCACACTTTGACCACAAAGAGGTCAGTGTTCACTTTGAAGAAAGAAGCTCCTGTTATGTTGTGTCTGCCTTGTGCTTTTCTAGTACGTATCAAAGCAGTGTGTTTTTAAGGAGAAAGGGACAATGCTTTGTGACTTTTACGGATGACTGTTTTTGACTTTGTTGCTAATTTTATGCATTGGGTGTTTTTCTGTGGTGGTGGAGGTTTACAAGGCATGGCACCCATGATGTTTAGAAAAATAATATATCATGTCTAGAGTTTTCTTTGAGATTCAGAGGACTGTATTTTTCAGGTGTATGTGCTCAGCTTATTGTTTTAGTGCTTTGTCATCTCAGTACAAGTCTATGGATAGAGGTATGACAGTTTCTGTTGACAGAAAATTTGCTTAAAGGTAACCTAACGTGTAATTGGTTTTATCACAGCAGTTGTTCAGGTGATTGTATAGTCTGACATACAGATAGTCATTTGATGGACCTGCCTGTGATCTCTGTGGAACATTTTTTTATGAAAATCTGGCAAAGCAGGCAAAAAAAGTTAATTATTTCGAGGAAACTGAATACTGAGTAAATAGTATGTTATAAAAGTAGTTTCCATATTATGGTGGTTGTACTTCTAAAGTAAAACTGAAAACTTGAATGTCTGTTTCATGATTAATGCAAGTCATTTATTTGTTACTCATGCAAAAATGGCTGATGTACCTTTTTAAAGAGAAACTGAGCTCTGGAAACTATGCCCAAAAAGGTAGGTCGAGGAAAAAACTTGTCATGTTTTACCATTACTAACTTTACATGCCTTGTACTCTCTCTCCTTCTGGCGGTGGCTAATTTGGTAGTGCCAGGGCTTTGCTTTGTCATGTAAGAGTTTTCATCAAGGAGAACTGAGAGCATCACAGTTTTGACATCCCCAAATATAACTTCAAATCATCTTTAAGTGCATTTTTCAGGGTACTGCTTAGTCAAAATTGACACTTATAGGTGTTCCCTATAACATAGCAAACCTTCATTTTTTGAGTTCAGTTCCACTTTCAAAGTATAGATCAGTGGTTCTCCATTCTTGGTGAGACAAGGGCTCAGTGAATGCTTCCAAAACCTTCCATGCCCCAAAAGTTAAGAAAAATAATTTATACTCCTACAGCAAAAATATTGGAACACAAAATATGTATATAAAATGCAATAATCAGTTGAAAATGCGCTACTGTAATTTAAATACTGACACGATGACAAAAAGTATTTAGTCAATTTAACACTATTTTTTTTTCTCATTATGGCTCTCTTCTTGTTTCTACACTCACTCCCTCATTGGCCCCTTTCACACGAGCGTTACGTATGTCCGTTTTTCATCTGTGCGTTTGCGGATGAAAAATGGACACCCATATATTTCTATGAACTAGCGGATGTAAACGGATGATCATCCGTTTACATCCGTTAATGTCCACATCTTTTAACATCCATTTTTTTAACTGAAGAAAACTGTATTTTTCTTCTGTTTAAAAAAAAAAAAATGGATGTAAACTGACGGAAAACGGTTGAAAAATGATGTAAAGTGATGAAAAACTGACGTGAACTGTTCGAAAACTGATAAAAAAAAACTGATGTGAACTGATCCATTTTTTCTAGGAAAAAACGCGACTGAACTGATGAAAAAAACAGAACTCCCGTGTGAAAGGGGCCTTACTTGTCTCTTGCCATTTCTCCTTTTCTCGCATTTTTTTTTTTTTTTCTCTGTGCCTCCTTACTTTTTTCCTTTCAGTCTCCCTTCTTCCCTGCTGTGTCCATTCATACCCAGCGCTTGCTGTGAGCAGAGCTGCCTTTAGAAATTATGGAGCCTGTATGGCCTACCTGACAGCCCTGTTGGAGATGCATATTCTGTAAGGACAGCCCGAGCCTTAGGAGTTCAGCAATATGCCCAAAGTCCACCAAAAATGACCTGTGAGGGGAATAATCATGTAAAGTGTGATCAAGACATTTGAATGTTTGATATTGGCGTAACTGCAATGGGAGATCTAACCCCTGGTTCACATATATGCAGCCGTGTGGGCCGCGTTTTGCGCAGGCACGAGAGCCCATTCATTTGAATGGACTCCTGTGCTCCATGACACTCAGGGAAGAAATCCCTGCACTTCTTCTGAAAACGCAACCCACACGGGAACCTCGGTTCCAGTACGGTTGTGTTTTCTAGTGTGCGCAGCGTACCGTTAGAACGAATGGCACCCCGCCCACGGGTACACATTTCTCTGTGCGGGGTGGTGCGGCTGCATGGATTTTTGTGCAGATCCGCAGCCCCACCACCCGCACATATGTGAGCCTAACCTGAACTCCATGTAAGCCAGACTTTCAGGGGTGAATGCATCCTGAAAGAAGGTGTGGGACAAGATGTATGCGGTCTTGCTGGTCAATGACCTTTCCTATGTACAAATTTCAGAATTTCTGCTGGAGGTGGTATTAGGAGAGCAAGAACATCTTTTTGGGAGCCTGCAGTTCACCATCCTACGAGGATAATGAGCTATACACGAGTGGAGGAAGGGCTTGAAGTGTGCTGGTGGTGCATTAAGTCTGCACAGCTGGAAACCAGAAACTGGGTGCTGCCTGGCTTGTGCTCTCATCTCCTCCCGTGCCTGAATGCTGAAGCAGAGGACTGCAGGAGTACAACCTGAGCTGGGGATGGTGGAACCAGGGAGGGGAGCCAGAGACAAGGCCTGCGATATGGAGACACACAGGAGGCATGGTCACACTACTGCAGGATGTGCCGCCTAACATGGCATGCATAAATTACAGTTTACATTAATAGCTGTAGTCTTGCAGTTCACGGAGTGTAAATGTGTAATCGCTGTGTGTAACCAGACACCCTGGAACTGACGCCAATCTGGAAGGTGTGAGCAGCTCAGTGGCAAAATGGTTAGTACTTCCACCTGGCAGTACTAGGGTCATTTAGTTCAAATCCCAACCATGGCACCACTTGCCAGGAGTTTTCATGTTCTCCCTGTGCTTGTTTGGGTTTCCTCTAGGTACTCCGGTTTCCTCCCCCACACTCCAAAGACATGCTGGTAGGTTAATTGGATCTTGTCTAAAGTATGACCCTAGTATGTGTATGTATGAATAGGATTTAGGGACCTTAGATTGTAAGCTCCTTGAGGGTTAGGGACTGATGTGAATGTAATAAAGATATGCGTGTGTTTAAAGTGCAGCGTAAATTGATGCGCTATATAAGTACCTGTAATAAACAATGACATAACTTTGCTGATTGGCTGCAACAAAAGTGTCAGATTGGTTACAGATTGTGTTTACACATAACTGTCCAGTGGGGATTACTGAGCCATTTTTTTGGCACAACTACTACGAAGTAGAAAAGATCACCTGATGAAACAAAGTGTTGCTACCTCAAAAATGGCCATAAGTCGTTATGTTTTCAACACAAGTTATAATTAAAGTATAACTAAAAGCAAAACCTTTTTTTTTTTTTTTTTCCAGTTTTGGACAGATGGATTAGAAAACCTGTCAGGTTTTCTTTGCGGTCTGTGTCCCAGTTAGGGAGAGTCACCCTCCCTATTTGTTCTGTTTACCATTATTGAAAGTAAAAAGAAAATCCCAAATTATGGGTTGTCCCCAGTAACGGAGGGGAACTCTTTCAATGAGGACACTGCTTCTGGTGACCTGGGGATCCCAGGGATTCTTTTAGTTTGTAAGTATTTCCTCTCACTTCCTGTTTTGGCTATGGGACAGGAAGTGAAGGTACTGCAGGACAGGAAAAACCCAATGGGACACAGCAAAAAAAAAAAATTGACAAGGGTTATAACCCTCCTTTACTCTAGCCAAAATGAAAAAAGTTTTGCCTATAGTTCTACTTTAAATACCGTATCTTGTCTGATAAGCCTTCCGTCATTGCACTGGCACTAAAAGTAAAGTTCTGTTTGCTTAGATTCTCCAAAACCAGATTTACTAGATAGTCCTCCACTCTCCATTCTGCAGCTACTGTTTTTGTAACCATAACAAGAACTGTCTAAAGCAGTGCCGCCTGCCGAGTGGTGACACAACTTGGGATCCAGAAATGAATCATGAGCAGCACCAATTTCCTACTGAGCATGTCTGTCAGTGTAAACAAATGAGCCAGTCACAGCTCACACACTTGTGCTCATGCAGAATATCCATAACATCTGGCCAGCTGCAAGTCTCACAAATAACGCATTTAGATATTAATCAGGTAATTTGGAGAGTTCCTGGCAATTTAGCCTTGCGTTCTCAGCATTTGTTGTGCATGCTACAGTGCAGTCTAGTGTCTTGGATGAATGGTTGTCCTACAGGTTTGCTGTAATGCACACAGGATCCTCTAAATGCTGTGGAGTTCACACATGGCCATTTCCTATATTATGCTGGTAATCTTTGGCTCCCTATCACAATGACACTGGGAAAGAGCAGTACTTTCCAGAATAAAAGTTGCCTGTAGCATTTATTTGGAGTGATGCTCATGTAGTAAGGAAGTCGAGAAATTATTTTGGCCTTTAACAGGCAGTTCTTTTTAGCAGTTGCATGATCTGAAAAACATGACTTTTCATTGCACAGTGCCAAATACTTGTGCGGTAAAACATTCTGGCCATTTTGGCTCCTGGAATATTCAGCCCATGTTCAACTGTTTTTTTTAGTTTAGCACAGCAAGTAGATGTTATGTTGCTGCTCTTTTCCTGAGACCTCAATGTACTGTTTATCCCTTACATACCTTCAGTTTAATGATGACCACTTTAAACTTGAAAGGTAATCTTTCTGGCTATGAATATGGCAGCAGCCTTTGCTGACTTGTTTGTAAAGATAATCGTTGAATTTTCCTTCACTGACCTGGAACATGTATGTCCCAACACCTGATTTGGACAAACACATCCCAGGTCAGTGGCTCGCCAACTAATGAGTGAGTTAGGATGATGACCCCAGAGACTGCACCTTGACAAATAAATCCACAAATTGAGCAGGCATATTTTTGTTGACTGGTTTGTTTTCAAGTGTGCGTGTAATAAGTCTGCTGTGTTGGTTAAACCCGCCTTTAAATGTTTTAGGAATAAATCGTATCACTGTGCCTCATGATACTGTGATCTTGATAGGAAATAAAGCTGTAATCATTACATAAAGTGCCCAGTACAGCTGTATATTTTCAGCTCTTGAAGATCTGTGAGACCGTGTACACTGAAGTGCCATTGGCACCCTCCATATTGCATGGATAAGTGATAGATTTGGTGAGATAATTGAGCTGCTTGTTTTCTTCCTCCAGATGTGTCACAGAAGCTGACAGCCCTGATCATAATCTCCCCTGTCCTCAGCCAACAGCAAAATTAATGTGTGGGAGCGTTACCTTAAGATTTAGGGGCTAAAAAGGGTGAAATTAATGAAGTTTCCTAAATACATTCAGACAGCGTTGCTTGAACGGCAGCCTTGAGTTCAGCTATAAGCTGACATTGACATGGATTTCCCTAGTGAAACATATAGTTAAACCTGGCAGCTTCAGCAGACTTCCTGCAAGGAGCAGGACTGCAAGTGGTTATAGCGCTATAAAACTGGCTTCTTTACAGAAAACAAATAGTTATATAATCCGAAAAACCCACCATCCCATTGTGAGGGTTTATTGTTCAGTGGTTTAAAAAAAGACAGGGGGAAAAAAAACAGATTATAGATCTCGTTTATCCTTGCAACTTCTGATGTGCTTCCAAAAATGGTATTAAGGCAGCAGCTGAGGAAATTTTATGAGATAATGAAGCAGAACAGTTACTGAAAGCCATCTGCTCAGTTGTTTACAAACTTGCTCCAGTACTTCAGAGGCAGCGGTGCAGTACGTGTCTGAACTTCACAAGCTGAACTAGGTAGGACTAAATGTAATGCGCCTGGGCTGGGCTCAGCCTGCTCCCTCCCTGTGCAGCGTGAGCCGTTGCCAGGCAGGCCCGTTGGAAGCCAGCAGAAAGCACCACACAGAGGTGATTATATGCCACCATCTGTCACGCTTCAAGCCTACCATACAGCATGGCTAATCAGCCTTGGCAGGATGATGGATGAACAGCAGCAGCTGCCAAAAGCCACTGTTGGCAAACAATTCTGAAGTTAAGAACTTCTCCCCTCACCCCCTCTCTCCTCTTCCTCTCCAGGGTCCTGCTGCGTGTCCGCATGCTCTACTATCTCAGGCAAGAAGTGATAGGGGACCAAGCTGACAAAATCTTGGAGGGTGCTGACTCAAGGTTAGTGGATGTGCTGCTTGTCCTTGTCATAGAAAGCAAGGTCTTTACCTGCTGTTACTAATTATGCTCTACAGCTTCACATTCTTAGTCCCTTTTTTCCCTTCCTCTTTCTGTTTTTAACTCCTTCCTGCTTATGGTGCCACTCTTTGTAATGTGTTTTTTTTTTTTTTTTTTTTTTTTTTTTCCAAAAGGAGTTAGTTTATTTTTATCCGGTTGTTTTGGGCAAATTTTTTTCTTTTTTTTTCTTTTATGAAAAAATGTTCTGGTAAAGAATGAAATGCATATCTGTGCACACACTGGATCTATTTTGATGGAAACTTTTTTATGCAAAAATTCATAAAATTTCAATTACTGTTCCACAACATTTTCTATCTAACATCTATAAACGCAACATTTTCACCTATAGTCAATATGTGACTTGGGAGTTTAATGTGTAGCACCTAAACATTATTAGGTGAAAGGTCAGATTAGATGTGTATTTTTGCTTTTTTTGGCAGCATTGATACACTGGTTAGCACCTTCACCTACATGTTGGCCTGGTTGAGATGTAAACAATCAGTATTTGCCCCCAAACTTCTAATTGGAACTAGAAAATGAGTACTAGGAAAAGGAAGAGGGAAGGTTGTACAACTTTTTCACTTTTGTACAGCCTTCCAGTGACAGGCTAAAAGAGGAGCAAGAGGTTAGTTGGCAAAAGCCATTGACTGCTTGTTTTATTCACTTTTTTAACACTACTTTAGTCGTGTGCGCATGAGCTGAGAAGCTTGGGTCTGTGAATCTTGTAATTGTTAAATATTGGCGTGGTTTTGTGTATACGCTGACTGACCCCAAGTTTACAACAGTAGGCTCAGAAGTATAGATTCCCGCCTTGTACCAGGGAGGCTTACACACTCAAAGCATTATGGGTCTGTGAAGGCCATTTTAATGCTTTGTTGTTCAATGAATTAACTTAGTGATAGGCTCTCTTAAAATCAGGTTGGGGATAATATTAAAATTGGGCTGCAATTTTAAAAACAAATGGTAAAATCAAGATACCTTAGATGAAACGTGTGGCATTAGCGACCAGAAGTATAGCTAATCAGTTACGTTGGAATCCTACATTCCAGTTGTGTTTAATAAACATGATAAAATGTATTCCAACTTCTATTTTGCTGTTATTATCGACAACGCTGATGAAATCTTATTTTTACAAACTAACAATTTTAATAATTTTGCAATACAATTTGCATCTGCAAACTGAGACAATCTTTGTTTATAGAGCCAAAGACTACTTGCAACTACAAGGCCAGGATAAAAACATTTTAGGACATGGAAGTTTTAATGTATGAAGTGTTTCTGTAGTTTTCAGTAATACACAAATATTTAATGAATGGCACATAAAAACTAATTCTGCTACATAAATTACACACTTAATTGCCATTTTTCATTACTCTGGGACTTTTCATTCTGAACTCATGACCTATAGTCCCCCATTTTTTACAGTGCCAGTTTTATTTGAGTGTTTAATATTTGGTTAAGCTCTTTTTTTAATCCAATACAAAGGTGGTACTTTTAATACAAAATAAGCCAAACTGTTTATAGCAGTTGCATATGAGGAAATCTTAGTGTTTAGACTGATTTTTCTCTTTTATTTGTTTTTTCTTTTTATAGTGAGATAGATATTTGGATACCAGAGCCCTTCCATGCAGAAGTTCCTACAGATTGGTGGGATAATGAAGCTGATAAATCCCTTTTAATTGGTGTCTTTAAACATGGTAAGCTGTCAGTCCCCTTCATCAAAATGCAGGGCGTCATAGATGCTTAGCGCTGGAATTCTGAATGATGAGCAGAGGTGTCTGATATTCCTAACTTGCTTTTACAGGGTTACTTAGCCTCTTATTCAAGTGCTAATAAATGTAAATGGCAGTTTTAATTTTGTTAGTATGTATGTGAACAGGGAGGTGCAGCGCTGTATAACCAAACAAATAATAATTACACAATAGTGAACAGTGACTGTAAATTAGTAATGCCACTATATGGTGGCTCCAGGTGAAGAGAGTGAAAAACAGTCCAGTGAAGGAGTGCTCTTAAGATCCAGGGTGATCTTCAGACGTCCAATATACAGGACCATCAGGTGATAAAATATAAAGACTGCGCACTCACCAGATACGCAATCTTTATGCGCATTTGTGTAAAATTATCACTAGGCCTCCTGTATCATCATCCTGGTCTGGTCAGATCTGGTCAGCATATCCCTCATGGCCCGGTAACTGGATGGATGCAGCTGTTCCGTAGACTTGGCCGGTTCTCACCAGAACTCAAATAAATAGAAAGGGCCACATAGTGTAATATCCTCAGGTATCTTTATTGAAGGCACAGGGTAGCAGAAAATCCAACTTACAAAAAATACTGACCCAGGTATAAATCAAAGATGGCCGCCGGGGCCCCTCGTGGCGCCGGCGGTGAAGCGTCCAACCTGCTGTAGCTATTAGGGATAGCTACAGCAGGTTGGACGCTTCACCGCCGGCGCCACGAGGGGCCCCGGCGGCCATCTTTGATTTATACCTGGGTCAGTATTTTTTGTAAGTTGGATTTTCTGCTACCCTGTGCCTTCAATAAAGATACCTGAGGATATTACACTATGTGGCCCTTTCTATTTATTTGAGTTCTGGTGAGAACCGGCCAAGTCTACGGAACAGCTGCATCCATCCAGTTACCGGGCCATGAGGGATATGCTGACCAGATCTGACCAGACCAGGATGATGATACAGGAGGCCTAGTGATAATTTTACACAAATGCGCATAAAGATTGCGTATCTGGTGAGTGCGCAGTCTTTATATTTTATCACCTGATGGTCCTGTATATTGGACGTCTGAAGATCACCCTGGATCTTAAGAGCACTCCTTCACTGGACTGTTTTTCACTCTCTTCACCTGGAGCCACCATATAGTGGCATTACTAATTTACAGTCACTGTTCACTATTGTGTAATTATTATTTGTTTGGTTATACAGCGCTGCACCTCCCTGTTCACATATATGCTATTGAAGGTTTGATACGGTGCCTTTTGGGTGTACAGCTGCTGCTTATTATACATTATATACTATCACATAAGCGCTCACTTATCCTCTGTTTTTCTTAATTTTGTTAGTGTTTAATAACATTTACAGGTAAATCGGTTGAAATTGCAGGTGCATTGAGAACAGTATAAAGTGGAAGTAAAGCTAGTGTTGTGGGGAGCATTCTATTTCTGCGCACAACTGACTTCCTGCAATTTACACTGACTGCCTGGCTCCCTACAAGTACTGAATACTCCACAGAGAAATTTGTGAACATTATTAGTTTCTCTCATATCAAATCACTGTTCCGTATTAGATTTACTGCACTCCAAGTAAAAAATGCGTTCCTAATAGAATATTTCCTGTGTTCATATAAAATATTTAAGGGGATAAAAGGAAGTGATAGACTTTTGCGCAGGAAGGTACACTACATTTTAGCTCCCCTTTAAGCTTATTCCAGCTCCGTGCTCTTCCAGTGATAGTTAAGATGTCTAATCCGCCGCATGTTTTTTGTAAAATATCTAGGAGAGAAAATATTTAACACCGATCTATAAATAAAGCCAAACCATATTTGTAGTAATAATGGCCACGCCGTGTTATAGATCTCCATAAACTTAGCTTCCAGCTCTGCTTCCCTTGCTAACTCTCTGCCAGCCAGTGTCAAAGTGGATGGTGGGCTTAACCTCTGCTATTAATCTGTACAAGTGCCTCCTGGGCTTTGTTCCAAGCAATATTTCACAAATGTCAGCGCCGAGAACTCCCAGCTCCCTTGAGTGGGATGCAGCCTTGTTAACTTTGAAAGGCTCGGGGATGCAGAGCTGGCATGATATATACAGTGAGCGATTCCTGATTATAATCCCAATTCTCTGGAGGTCGCAGGCATATTCTCAGCAGCATGGCCTGACTAAAGGGGAGAATGATGGCTTATAAAACCTTTCATGATTACAGTTTGGCTCCAGGCTCTACAGCAGTTAGGAGAAGTGTGTTGTACTACAAATCCTAATTGAATTGTGCTGTTCTGCCTATGTACAAGAGCCTCCTGCCTTTCTTCTAAATGGGAGCCTCAGCTGAGTCCTGGATGATCTAAAAATCTTTCTCCTGCAGTGCACTGTTGGGATCTGCCATTTTCTATCTAGTCAGTTCAGCCAGATAAAAAAGCAAAACAAGTGTGTTAAAACCATAGAGGGAGCAGTGTCATCCTTCTGACATACATCACATGAAACCTAATAAGACAGGTTCGATGGCCTTCAATGTAACCCATGTATACTGGGTGGAAAGGGGTGAGCAGCGGGAAGGAAATTTAGGCTATTCCTGGGCTCAGCAGATGCATATTGGTTGCAAGGGAGAGGGTGGGACCTCACCATACACAACTTTTCAAGAATTCAGTTAAGAAATGCTGGCTTTAAAACAAATGTTAACGTGTCCAAGGCTTCTGGTAAGTATGGTTTGCTGTGATGAATGTTAAAAAAAAAAATAAACTTTTTGACTTGTTTCAATTTAATTTTACTCTGGTGTGGCAATTTTATTTATACTAACTTGTATGAGTATTAGCCTAAATAAATAAACACAACAGACTTGGCATGTCTGTAATATAATGCATTTGCTGTTCTTGTAGCTCAGGGGTCTCCAAACTTTCTAAGCAAAGGGCCAGTTTACTTTCCTTCATCTTTTTAGGGGGCTGGACTGTGGCCAGCGGGAATAGAATTGCTTTCTTGCATCAGAAGTAAACAGTGTCCCATCTTTGGTATTGGGGTGGGGGGATAGTGCCCCATTGTTGGTGTCAGTGGCAGGAATTATGCCCCTTGTTGGGTTTTAGTGGGTGGAATAGTGTCTCCTATCTGCGGGATGAATAGTGCTCCAAGTGCCGGATAAAGACAATCAAAGGGCCGCATTAGGCCCCTGGCCACAGTTTGGAGACCACTGTTGTAACTGAATACAGCTGAAAATCAGATTGTATTGTATGTAATAAATTAATTAAATTAATACCACAGCTTGTTACACTAAAATGTGTTAAATCTGATGATATAAAGACTGGGACAAATTTGTTGAAAAAAATATTAAAGCAATTCTAATGTATACCTTAACCACTTGCCCTCCTGAGGATTTACCCCCCCCCCCCCCTTCCTGACTAAGCCTTTTTTTGCTATTCAGTGCTGCACTATTTCAGCTGGTAATTGAGTGGTCACGCAATGCTGTACCCAAATGAAATTTACGGCCTCTTTTTCACAAAAATAGAGCTTTATTTCGGTGGTATTTGGTCACCTGTGTGCTTTTTATTTTTTTTTTTTGCGCTATAAACAAAAAAAAGACCAAAAATATTGAAAAAAATGGTTTTTGTTTTACTTTTGGCTATAAAAAATATATAGTAAACTCAAAGTTAGTCATAAATTTAGGACAAAATGAATTCTGCTATGTTTTTGGTAAAAAAAAAAATCCCAATAAGTGTATATTGATTGCTTTGTGTGACAGTTATATCATCTACAAACAATGTATAGATACTGCAGTTTACGCCATTTTTTGCTATACAGCTCTGCACTAATCTAACTGGCAATTGCGTGGTCATGCAGTGCTGTACATAAATTAAATTTATTTCCTTTTTTTTCACACAAATAGAGCTTTATTTTGGTGGTATTTGATCACCTGTGCGCTTTTTTATTTTTCACGCTATAAACGAAAAAAAAAAAAAAGACCGAAAATTTTTGAAACAAAAACCCCGATATTTTCTCAGTTCTGTCATAAAAAGTATCCAGAAAATTCAAATTTCGTCATAAATTTAGGCCAAGATGTATTCTGCTTCATGTTTTTGGTAAAAAAAATCCCAATAAGTGTATATCGATTGCTTTGTGTGAAAGTTATGGGATTTACACAGCTTTTACTATCACATTTCTTTAGGTGCTAAAATACCAGGAAAAAACAAACACCCTCAGGTATCTGCTGAGAGGCATATTGAGTCAATGGAAGATTTATTTTTTTCTCCCACAAGTTTTGGAAAATGACAAAAACATTTTTTTTTTTTTTTTTTTTTTTTTACACAAAGTTTTCATTTAAATGATATATTGCTCACACAAGCCATGGGTATATGTGGAATTACACCCCAAAATGCATTCTGCTACCTCTACCGAGTATGGGGATACCACATGTGTGAGACGTTTTGGGAGCCTAGCCACATACAGGAGCCTGAAAAAAAAATGTCATTTTCCAAAAACTTGTAAATAAATTCTTCTATTGACTCAACATGTCTTTCAGCAAATAGTTTGGGGTGTCTGCTTTCCAAAAAGGGGTTGTTTTGGGGGGTGGGGGCATTTTATGCCCAGCATTAGACGTTTATGTCACACATCACTCATTCTTCTAACCACCTGGAGACCAAGCCTTTTCTGACACTTTTTTGTTCACATGAAAAAAATCTGTATTTTTTTGCTAGGAAATTACTTTTAACTGCCAAACATTATATATATTTTTTTAAAGTAGACACCCTAGTGAATAAAATGGTGGGTACTGCAATTTTTTATGTCACATAGTTCTTTCGCAGCTATTTTTTTCAAACGCAAATGTTTTTGAAAAAAATACACTTTTTTTTTTTCTTTTAATGCTCAAAAAACCATAAATTGGCTGATTATTTGGTAAAATATAAAACCTGATGGTATGCCGAGTAAATAGATACCAAACATGACACGCTTTAAAACTGCGCATGCCTGGTGGAATGGCGACAGTCTGCA